AAAACAGTTATAGTATCGTCGCTTAACAAAACGGTACTTCTCAAGTTATTTTGATTAAATTTATAGAATCGTGAAAAAATTGCCATAATATGTGTGTTGCACAAACCATTTTTATCGTTATTCAAGTTAGATTTTAACCAGAGTATCATTCAAAAGTCAAAATCGATATTTTTTTATGAAATGGGTGTTCTTTAAATAAGTGACGACTCGACAGGTATATGGTATTGGAGTAGCTTATTAATTAATAACTATGACTTTAAAATTGATATACACTGTTGCAACTACCGACAGACAACAATTACTTACATAGGTTGAAACTTTCACGATTTTCACACATTATTTGATTGTAAATTGTGAATTAATCATGTCGATGTAAAATTTATTTTTATATTTATATTTTAAATCAAATAATAATTGCTCATATTTGAATTATTAGATTTGTATACAAAGAACACTATTTCGGACACATAGTTCGACTTAACGAGATTTAGTACCTTATGTACTCACAACTTTGGACTTGTATACTATGAATTTCGTTGTGATTGTGTCTTTATTTAAATAATTTTGAACATTTACCTAAACCAATCTAATATTTTAAAATCACGCCAGAATTTATTATATATTGTAAATTGATAAATTTTATTCTTCATATCGACGGTTAAACGGAGGTTGATCCAAGCGACATTTTGGGCGATAATGAGTTACTCGTATATACACGGAATCAGCGATTTTTTTCAAGTCAATTAAAGCACTTTTTTGGGGTTTAATTCCATCGCGAATTCGGGGACAATTTCCTACATCATAGTGTCAAGCGACATACCTATAATTTTTCAGTTTTTTTTTAAACTAGGAATATGAGTCTACCTTAATAAGCTCATAATTTATGTTCATTTATGTTCACGTCTATTCAGGCGTTTCTCCTTTTTTTTTTTTTGGGAAAACGTCTTTTGATCCTATCTTAAATAGTCCAATGTTGATTACGATTGCACCATAAACCATTTTGCTTCATAAATATTTTATAATGTACGATATTTGAATTGTTTTACCTTGAACGGATATTATTGACTTCAACGTCTCTTGAAACCTTTTACTTTGCACCGATATTAGGTTCGACGTCGCTTGAATGCTTTTACTTTAAACAGTTTCGGAAGACTATGTCGCTTAAGTTATTTCTTCCTGTTCAACATTTTGATTTTTGGATGGTTTAAGCAATTTTCTTAGTGTTAAATAAATAGTCAAAATGGCGCTTGACCCGTTTATCTTCTTTTCCTATTTTCCCAAACTATAAAAATTTGTCGTTTTGTTTGTAACGTCTTTTCAATTGAAATAAAGGAAAAATAATTGAGTACGAAAATTATGTTTTATTTATCTTGATTTTAAATTAAAATTAAATCCTACTGCCTTGATAAAAAAATAGTGCAATATGGCTCAGCGACCCTTAACTCGGTGAAAAATACTCCTTATCTATGAAATGTGCATCAATACATATTTTAATATATACAAGTTTCACCTTCTTTCATTGAATACATTTTGCACAGTGAATTAAAATAAAAACTTAGAATGCTCTCCAGCAAAGTCTTTAACCGTGGATATATTCATACATTTAGTTCTTTTATGCGTATAAATAAATGCAAATTTCAAATTGATCTTTTATTTTAGTTAATTCATAACTTAAAATAATGAGGTATAGTCCGTACAAAACTTAAAATATTATCTAGCAATTTAAATTACATTATCAACTTATTTTCTAAAAGACCATAATAAACTATAAAAATATCACATTAAACTGGTTTGTTTTGTAAATATCAAGTGCCTTTCCACGAACTCTGTGACCCAGTTCACCACTCTACGAGCAGATGAGCGAGATCTCTGGTTCAATACCTGGTGGATTTAAGAAACTACTTTGAAATTGGTCCTATTGGCGCTCCCTCGAGGTTAAATTTGTTACTCTGTTACCCTAGTCATATTTCTCAAACCAGATAATTGAGGTTATAGTCGAAAACATTTTGTTACTCATTTTAACAGGGAAAAATTAACACATGGATATAAATAATCACGAGAAAAAAAAAATCACATTAGTAGGGCATAGGGAGGTACGGGAAATTTAATTGTCCATGGTTCACCCAGGTGAGTCAGTCAGGTGGTTCACGGGCATGTTAGAGACATATTTATACACATAAATAACTATAACTATTGTTTGAATTAAAGAATACTTATTTATTGTGCTAAACTAATTACAGCTTACCTAGATTGATATTAAATAACGTCCATAATAAACGTGAAGATAAAATCTGAGATAGTATAGCGTGCATAAAGTATAAGATGTTTTTTAAGCGTAAAATTCAAGGTGCAGTATACCTATCGAGTCAGGTCACCACACAGTACACTTTTGTTTGGGGTTCATGGGCGTGCCTGGTGGACATTGGAACTCTCTGGCAAAGTCATGAGAGTTGGACAACGTGCCAATCACACGAAATCTGCCAGGGGAGTGTACTGCAGTTTTCAATTTGTTGCGCATTGCTTCTGGGCGCATCGCCCCACACCACACCTGTCAAATAAATTTTTCTTCGTGCTAACTTTGTTCCATGATGTGTAACGTAGCGAAGTAGTGTGCGAGAAAAAATCCGCCAATAGGATTACTTCATTTTCCTAGATAAGCTTAGTGCAGCTCCGATGGAAAAGGGTTATCTGATCTAAGTATCTGTACATACAAAATAGCGAGCAATGTATGCCAGAGATGTGTGCGAGGAATATGTGCGAGGGATGCGGGCGAAGAATGTGTGCAAAACGGTGTAGGAAACTAGAGCTACTGAAAGTATGGACACATAAGTGACACTGACATATCGCCAGCGATCACCCCACCACACCGTACCCCGCCCGCGCGTAGCTGAAAAGAGTTCGTAGCGCATCTTCGCACAGCTTTGGTGGAAAACATTACACCGTTTCACAGCGCCGCTACACATCCTCGCACCGCCTCGCTACCTCGCACATCTCTGGTGGAAAGGCAGCCTTGGGTACTATAATTAAATAGTAATAATAACGCACACACTCAACATAGCCCCGCACTAGGGAAACCCTGTGTCGCGGGTGCCATGGACACACATAGACAACCACAAATTACACCCAAACTCACGAGAGAAATAAATGTAGGCCATACAAATATTTCTCCCGGCCCGGGAATCGAACCTGGGACCTCTGCGTGGCAGTCCGGCATGGTAACCGTTCGGCCACAGAGGCAGTTAAATTTAGTTAATTAATTAAGTTAATTAAGTTAGTGATATTTCAAAGTAAATTTAAATGCTTGCTCACTGTATTAATCTTCTTTGCTCACTTATTCAACAACTACAACTTAAGAATTGAAAGACTGACCTGAGCAAAGTTAAGGAAGAATAATTGCGTATGAGTGTGATTGAGGCCTGGAAGAGTTTCTCCGTCTGTTCCGTGACGCTGCAGCCACTGACGGTAGGCGCGAAATGCCTGCTTTACACCACCGTTATCAGCTATGTTTTCACCCTGAACATTGTATAGAAAAATGAGAAAGCAGTAAAAATTAAAGTGACCATCATAATTTCTCCATTGGACTAAGATTTTGAAAAGCTTTTGATCAATAAATATGAACACCAACCTGTGTATTAACCCCGTCAAGCTTCATATTGACTTCAGGAACAATATAACGGCCGTACTGGTCGATGAGGCATTGCGCACGCCGATGGAAAGAGTCGATTGCCGAGTCCGACCACCATCGGTGCAGATTCCCATTGCAGTCGAATAGACGACCTTTGTCGTCAAAACCGTGTGTAATTTCGTGACCTGTGTAATAGAGTCATTTAAAGTTTATTTTATATTAAAAAATATAAGTGCGCATTTGACCACATTGACGATGAGGTCAACGATGGAGCACGCACAACTAAATTATGCCTATTTACTCTCGCCCGGAAAAGGCCCAAGTTATAACGTTTCAGGTCTGCAGATAGGGAAATCCACTCCATAGCCGTATGTCATATACCTAATGTGATTCTTTGGAATATTCAAAACAGAGGTGAAACTCCAGCACGTCTTTTGGAAAGGGGAAGGTGGAATTAAATCGTGCAATTTCATTGCACACTCTCCGTGATATATCCTGTACCTATATATATTATCGATAAGTAGCCAACTTTACGGCTTTGCAGTTTGACAGTGTATAATATGGTCTTTTCAGTTACTTGAAAACGATCATAACTTGTTTTGTTATTACCAATAACGACACCAATGCCGCCGTAGTTCAAGGAACGTGGGAAATGTCGATGATAGAATGGAGGCTGCAAGATACCAGCGGGGAACATGATTTGGTTCTTGTTGCGGCTGTAGTATGCGTTCACTACTGCTGGAGCCGTATTCCAGAGGGTTTTGTTCACTGGTTGACCAAGACTAAAAAAACATAATTGACAGACTTCAATGTGCCCTTTTTATTAAAAAAAAAAACGAGAAAAATAGAGAAATACTTACCGCGATTGTTCCATCTTTGTCAAATGTTGAAGGATGTTTAAAATATTCTCAAAATACATGTCTGGGTGTATACTCACTTCCTTATATCTATCATCCAGTTCTTTTTTATCGAGTATGAAGTCTGGATATCCTATTCGAAGCATCATGGCTTCTACTTTATGAGCTGCTAATTTCTTAGTTTTGGAATCAATCCAATTAGTTAGGTGAAGCAATTCCTTGAATGATTCTTGTATTTCCCAAGTCATGGTGAGGGTATCATTTTTACTAGTCTCATCAAAATACTTTTTTACGAACATTGAACCTAAAGCCATTCCCATGTTGGAATTCACTTGTGATATGCAGTTTTTCCATCTAGGTGGTGATTGTTCACGCCCAAAAAGGATGAAGTAAAATCTGAGGGGTGTCATCTCCCATGTTATTTATTATAACTTTATGTATAGAACATTAATATTTCATATATAATATTCTCATACTCACTGTTGTTTCGCCGATTGAAAACGGTCATCTAGGTTATTAACTCTGTGTCTAACGAATCTCCAGAGCAAATAATTAGCCAAAACAGATGGTTGTGTCTCCGAAATTAATTGTACTAAATGCTGTCAAATTGGAGAAAAATGAACTTTTTTACATTATATATCGTAAAATTTATAGATGAAGGGAATTTTCGACTTAGATATTGTGCAATATATTAATAATGTACGTTAATTGTAAAGAATTTCATTGTGAGAATCCTAGAGCATTTAGTTAAAATGCTTTAATGTGAGAATACATACCCTAACGTAAGAAAGAGCAAAAAGTACAACTGTTTCATTAGATTTCACGTCCCTATTCATGATGATGCTAAGGTACCGTTTCCATTTAACTTCTGGAACCAATTCTTCCAATTTACATAGTGGCATACGTTGATATAACTCCGACACGTTGCGCCTGTCTTCTGGCGCCGATGTGATTCGTGCAAGTCTGAAAATCATAATAACCATTACAACTTTGTTCTACATTTGTTTTAAAGTTTAGCATTGACATTATTTTACTTAGTCTCGAAATCAAGCAGTTGATTTGCACTACATTTCACGTAGCGTGGATCGCCACCAAGTAGCACCGCAATTTTTATAAGATAGTTTTTGTAAGCCTCTAGATAAACTTTATTCGCGTTTTGAAGAAAATAGTCTCTTGTAGGTAAACCTGTAAAGTAAAACATTTGTTGAAATCTGGAGTTTGAAGATAACATTATAAGGTGAAATGGTACACAAAGATTTTACCTAAACTTGTTTGATCGAATTGTATCACAAACTCATCAGAGTTTTTTATATCTGGTCCTACCCATTCTGATATCAGAATGTCGTTGTTGTATAGTCGTAACTTCGCCATGAGCTCAATCCAATTGAATCCTTCATCTTTCCACTGAGGATCCAATATAGGCCAACCACCGAGCAAATTAAGGAGGTCAAGCAGCGGTTGATGACCGCGTTTTTCCAGGATTTCGTAGTTCATACAGGATTTAAATAAGAATCTTGCTTTTAGCGCAGCATCGCCTTTTGCGGGATCTTTATTTACTTGGCCTGTAGTAGGTGTCTCTCTGGTCGTGCTGTTTTCTGTTGTGGGCTCTGTAACGGGTCTTGATTCTGACGATTGGTGCTGTATGACCGGTTTGAGTTTAGTTGATTCTCTTGCGTTTCTTGTATGTCTTTTTCTACTTAGTGTAATAATATTTCTCTTGTATACATTTGTGTACATTAATAGCTTCCTACCAATTTTCACCCGTTTACTCTTAAGAATTTTATGGAATTTTGGTTTAGTGTTTGGAAAATAATTGTTAAATTTTTTGTAGTGTTTTTTTGTGTCAGGATTTTTAGATTTGTAAAATCTTTTACCGTGGTCATATTCATTGTTGGAAAAACAATGATGGATCCTGTATTTTCTACCTTTATTTTGTGCTGGGGCATGTTTTAACTCTCTATTTAAATACCTCCTGATTCGATACACAATCTCTGATTTATTTGGTTTATTTGTAGAAGCATTGAGATGAATGTAATTTAAGATATTGTGTTTTATAGTTTCCTTAGACTTTTCCCATTTTTTCTTTTTGTTAGCGACTGCTTTTGTGTTTGTTGGTGGCGAATTATCTAAACCTACATAATATTTCGTAGTTTCAAACTCTAAAGAGTAACGTAAGCCATCTGGATCTGAATATGTTTCGTGATTGCTATAATCCAAAGTAGGGACGGAAACGGTACTTGGAGTAGTAACATCGAACTCATTGTCACCTAATATATCTGGAATATCGTCGACGCCATAAGAAACTTTGGGGAAATGGAATATAGATTTAATCTTACTGTGCGTTTTATTAGGTAGTAAGCTTTTTAGGAAATTTTCCTGCAGATTTTGCAGATCCAAATGTTTTCCGGGATACTTGCTATCGACATTTTCATTATTTTTGAACTCTAAAAGATCTTTTAATACTGTGTCTAAATTTTCTCTCAGCATTTCAAATGTATCATACCTGTAATATAAGATTTCATAAAAATCTGTTTTCGGACTAATAAGCCTGTAGATAGACTTATTAATATTTGAGGTTAAAACATACCCCGCCTTATCAGCTGGTATTGGATTTAGTGACGCCCAGTTGCCGCAAGCATATTGATAGAAATCATGACAAGGGTCAGCTTCTGCGTCCATATATTTCCTCATGATGTCAGCTTGTGTATTTCTAATTGTTTCTTTATCACCTTGACCTTTCCAAAATGCATGGATCCCTGTTGAGAAACAAAATATACTCTGTAAAATAAAGGGACAAGCATAATATATTGATTCTGCTATACATAAAGTTAAGAAAAATCTATGTTATTTGACCTGACTCCATATCGGATAACAATATAATTGAATAAATTGTTTCAATCATTCAGCAATTTGTGTCTACAATAGATATCTAATAATAATTTAATATTCCTCACAGCTCTAGTGTACCTACAGTGTAACTTCATAAAAATTCAACAAAATATTATTATTATACTATGCTGTTAAATTGCGTTGAGTTACTTATTATACCTGCATAATTTTTCCCCGGCTTATACTGGTAAGCTGACGATCCTAATTCTCCTTCTTCCAACTCTGGTTGACCTCTGATTTGTTCTACCACATCGTCTAAAGGGCCTCGGTCCACGTGTAGTTCTGGTCTTACTACACTGCAGATAAAGGGTCAAAAACGTGTACATATACCGAACATCGTTATATAAAGCTAAGTAGTTACAAATACTCATTTGAACACACCGTTCTAAATTTTCAGCGTCTTCATACTGTTCACTAGTATCTGACGATTCATATTCCTCTTCTACCTCACTCTGGTTATCTTGGGCATCATCTACTTCATCGCTTTCGAATTTTCTTCTAGGTTGCGATGGGTTTTCGTCACTGCAATAATATATTTATATTTCCACAAGGATGCACATAGTGTTGAAAAAAGATTTCAACGTTTCAACTTACGGGTAGTCCTGGGAGGAAAACGTAAAGCGACTTGTACGTTTTAGTCTGGTTGGAGATAAATTCTGCTTATCGGTCGATCCCCATATAAAGATATCACTAGTCACATTCCCTTCGTAAAATTCCTTCTTACTGCCCGTGTCCCTTCGAGCAAGTACTATCTCTTCAGGAGGCAAGAACGAAGTACGAAATCCCTGAAACACGTCCCTTTCTTCGGCGTCAATACCTTCCAACTTGGTATAAAGTTTGGGAATACTCCTAATAACATACTGGTCTGAGGGATCTTCTAAAGAATCATCCGGTTTCTTTAAAATTATATAGATAATAACTATTAATGTTGCTATAATTATAAGTATTGTACTCCGACAGGGTCCTGAATAACTTGACCCTGTATTATACAATCTTTGGGGTTTATTTGATTTCACATGTATATTGTGTATATGCATGGCAGTTCCCGACTATTCCCGACTGACAGCGTCAGAGGTGAGCGCAGATTCGTAACTGGAACATCACATGAGACGCGGCTATTGTAGGCTTGACCCTGCAATGGGATCTACTTAGAAAATTGCGAGCAATCAGCCGCGCCGGGCGCTCTGTGCTTGCCTTTTATCTGACCATCTGGCCTCGTATAACGCCTATATTTAAATGACATACACAATCTACATGATAGTTCAATAAAGTTGTTGTAGAGCTCTGAGCACTCTGATAGTCTGATGATACTGGCCACGTGTGAAAAATTATTTTCGAAAGAATGATAATTAATGATTTATTTGTCAGTGTCATACTTACATAAAATTGCAGCAAATTGTTTTCGTCAACAAAGTGCCATTTGTACTTTGATTTGATAATTGTGCGTATAGTTTTTATCATTCAAGTGATAAATATTTATTGTTAAATATACAATTAGATTATTTTCTTATAATATAAAATGAAAGGATTTCAACTAAAACCCAAAAAGAAGTTACATGTTTTTTCTATTGTATCGATATTTACTCTTATAAACACTTTTATATTCTGGGTGTGGTTACATTTATTTTAGGTGCTTGCCAAACATAACACTAAATATAATTACTTCAATGAAACGTAAAATTTAACATTACGAATGGCCAAACCGGGTTCATTTACTGAATTAACAAAACAAGTGCGTTTGTTAAATGACTTAATTCTAATGGATATGGTGTATAGTAAGTACCTGTACTTACTTATAATCGACTAAGAGTGCTTACACACGGCGAATTTTAGCAGCGATGCAATCGCCTATGAATCGCAAGTGTCGCGATGCAATCGCGTGTTTGTATCGATGCAGTCGCGCGTTTGCATCGCTGCTTAAAATTACGCGCGTGTAGAGGTAGACGATCAGCGACAGCATCGCTGCT